CCCTCAGGACCCCCTACTGAAGCCCCGCCCAATTACTACTGATGCTCCTACGACTGAAGCCCCTCCCACAGACTACTGAAGCTCCTCCCACAGACTACTGAAGCTCCTCTCACAGACTACTGAAGCTCCTCCCACAGAGTACTGACGCTCCTCCCACAGACTCTTGAAGCTCCTCCCACAGACTAATGAAGCTCCTCCCACAGCGTCCTGAAGCTCCTCCCACAGACTACTGAAGCCCCTCCCACAGACTACTGAAGCTCCTCCCACAGACTACTGAAGCTCCTCCCACAGACTACTGAAGCCCCTCCCAGATCTGATGATTGTTTTTCTTTAATCGCAGAATTCTGACATTTTTCTTATAACTATAAAATAAATAAAAACTTTTAAAGATTGAAAATACATCAAAGAGAGAAAAAAAAATGTATGTTCATATTTGTATTTAAATAAATATATATATTTAATGTCATTTGTTTATTTGATTAAACTCTTGATTCTTCCTTTTTGAGTCTTTTGAAATGTCTTCATATAAAAAGTGATCATTTATTTTGACCCTGTTTGTGAATAAATATCTGCTCTTCCTCTCAACTGGTGCGGTCTTCATTAGGATCCTTGAATCCTTATGTCAACAACAACAACAACAACAACAACAACAGCAGGGTGTGAGCAGAGTATTCAGTTCAGGTCAGAACATGAAGTGAGAAACAGCTGATTTTTAATGGCAATAACATTACATGTTACTTGTTAGGCGCTTTTATCCAAAGTGACTTCCTGTGGGCAATCTCTCCGGAGCACTTTGGGGTGAAGCGTCTCAGGGACACAACGACATGCTGACTGCTGAGGGGTTTGAACCTCTGACCCCTGATACCAACACCAAAGCACTATCCACTGCGCCACACGCCTCCACCGCCGATAAAACATTTTAACTATAGAAACAAATAAAGTTTCATATTTCATTTTCTACAATCTCTTTAGTTTCACCACAACAATTTAATTTAACAACTGATGGAAATATAAAAACAGAGCGAGCTTCAGGGGAACATTATGATCACATAGTTTCACTTCTGGTTCAGCCAACTGAACGAGAAGATGTGTTTCGGTCCGTCCTCTGACTCCTCCTGACGAAGAGGAGGAGGAGGAGGAGAGGAGGAGGAGGAGGAGAGGAGAAGAAGAACCTTTTAGTGTCATGAATTTATTATTAAATTGAAATATCACTAATGAATTCAAACAGATTTAAATGTAAATCACTGAAATCCTCAGATTTGATTTGTTTGAAATAATAATTCCATTAAGTCTGAATTACTGTATGTAGCGTGTGATGTCATACCTGGGGGGCGGGGCTAGTGGTAGGCGGGGCCTGTGAGGACGAGGAGGGGGCAGGGCCGTTCGTCGATGATGTCATGGTGGGCGGAGCCTCTGAAGGTCTCTGAGGGGGCGTGGCTAATAGCTGAACACCTGAAGACTGAGCAGGAGACAAAGAAGGAAGCTGATTGGCTGAGGTCATCAGAGGAGGCCTTTGATTGGCTGAAGTCATCAGAGGAGGCAGCTGATTGGCTGAGGTCATCAGAGGAGCCTTCTGGTTGGCTGAAGTCATCAGAGGAGGCAGCTGATTGGCTGAAGTCATCAGAGGAGGCAGCTGATTGGCTGAAGTCATCAGAGGAGCCTTCTGGTTGGCTGAAGTCATCAGAGGAGGCAGCTGATTGGCTGAGGTCATCAGA